CCCCTGCATCGGCAGGCGGACTCTCAACCACTGCGCCACCAGGGGAGCCCTATCTGAAATTTTTAAGATAATACTTCGAGAAACGTAAAAGAGAGGACAGCATAGTAAAATGCAGGACTCAATGATTTTTTCCTTCCAGTAGGTCAGCAGTGTACATTTTGTGCTCTGTAATATGAAGTGTTAAGACTAAATTTGTAGACATGACGTAATAAAGTTATATACATTTCGCTAATATTGTATTAATGGTCTCAGCCTGACCTCAAACTTTGCTACTCACGTAACAGGAAATTCTGACCCGAGACAAAGTCTAGGCCAGGCAAAGGTCATGAGTGCCCGGGCTCCCCTCACCTGAGACAGCGGAAACACCGCCGGCCTGGGCCCCTTCCCCAGCCTGGCCGAGGTCCGCCCACCCTTGCAGCTGGCTGACAAGGCAGACAGTTACGGAGCCCTGACTGCGTGACACCCTCGGTGTGGCCTGGGACAGCACAGAGGATGTTGTGGACACTCAGAGGGCAGAGGGAGCCCGTAGGGTGTGGACGGGGCCGGGAGGACGGGCGGCAGAGACCTTCCTAGTCTCCTGCTCCTCTCGCTGACCGCGTGGTTCAAATGCTGTCCATTCCTCTAGCGTGAACATCATGAAAGATTGAAGCAGCCACGTATCGTTAACATGTGCAGCTAGTGCTCGCTAGGCTCAAGAGACCAGTGCTTTTGAGGGAGTCAGGAGCAGCAGACACCACAGTGAAGGCCAGGACGGGGGCTGTTTCAGATCTGCGGGGAGCGCCGTGAAACCAGGAAGTATTCCCTTGACCCCAGTAAGCTCATTTCTTGGCTGCTTCCTCTGAGCCAGATGAGCTGTAAGGTCCCTTGTGGCCCCAGAATTATGTGGCTCTGTCTGGCCAGCACAGGGACCAGGCGGGTTATTGCTGGGGTTGGGACTGACCTTGGGTGTTCCTGTGCTTAATTCACCCCTTCAGTCCCCTTCTCCAGTGTTTGCTAAAGGCAGAAATGCAAAATAAGAGCAACAGAAAATAGACCAGTAGTTGCCAAGGGGTGGGGTGAGGGCAAAGGTGACAACGGACGGGCAGCACAGGAGGATTTGGATGTGACGGGACTGCTCTGTCCCGACGGCGGGGGTCTTGAGGCTGCTTTGGTGCGTTTAGCAACAGGCACGGAACTGATGCCAAAAAGAGTACACTTCAGTGTATGTGAAGTGTTTAAAATTAGAGGCTCAAAATATCCAAGCATCAGTCTGTTTGGGGGAGGCATCTAACTAATCTAGGGGAAGGGGACAGAAGGGCGATTTTGTGTATAAAGGTGAATACGTCTGTACGTATATGTCCTTTCAGCTAGCTTCTTTGGTCGGCTTATTTCTGTCATTGAGTCCAGAATCCACAGATGAGTGACTTTCCTGGCCCAGGGAGGCACCGTGGGGCAGGGCGTGGGGGGGACCGGACCGGACCGGGCGAGCATGTCTGGGTCCCACCCGCCGCCCGCCCGTGGCTGTCAGCGACTCTCCCCACAGGCTGCTGGAGTTGCTGCTGAGCCGGGTCAGGAGCGGCGTGCACCTGCAGCTCGCCTGCTTCCAGGCCACCCCTCCGCCTGCCGTGAAGACACAGGTGCCTTCCAGATGACGCGCTCCCCCGAACGCCCACAGGTATATCTGGGCAGAAAGCACCGGTTAGGCTTGCGATCTCTCTCTTTCCTTTCCCTTGAATTGGTAGCTTAGGAAGATGTTGGCATGTGTTATATTTCAACCAAAATGACCTGATGTAAAACGTCCAAGCAGCACTTGCTTTGTTGCTTTTATTACGTTAGGCCCCGTATGACTTTAAAATACCTTTTTAAAACACTGAGCTTTCTCTCGTAGCTGCATGCTGCATGGTGGAGGCTGCGGAAGACGGGGCGGCTCAGGCCTACACCGAAGCATCTTCCAGGGCCTCCTGCAGCTTCCAGGGCACCTGGGGTGGCGACGAGAGATTCATCAGGAAGTTACATGCGAGCATCTGGAGCTTCAGCTGTCCTAAATTGTGCAGCTGTGCTTAAAACCTTTATTTCATACAGATGGCTCCTGATTCAAGTAGACTTTTAGAAAAACGTGTGGTCTGAATAAAAAGGTGTGACATTTGGGCTGTGCTTTCTGTGGTCCTCCATCCGTGAGTTAACTGCTGCCGGTTTCTATGTTCACAGCGCCTGTGACATCGGGCCTCTTTTGTGTGACTCGCCCTGAACCTGACGTGGGCCTTGCGGCATCGTGCCTCCTGCCCCAGTACCCCCTTGCATGCGTGGGGAACGGCGGGCCCAGGCGCCTCATCCGCGCTGTCCCTTCTGGCACCTTCCACGCCACTTCTGGCCCCTCGGGTGGCCTGCTTGGTGGCCGCGGGGGGTCTGCTCTGGTGGCATCTGTGTCACCAGGCGTGGGAGCTGCCGCTGACACTGTTACCAGAGCAGGTCAGGCTGCCGCGACCTCCTTCAGAGTCAGCTTCCCTGACCTGACTTTGTCACACCGTTTGCTTCAGAAAACTGAGTCAGGGTTTTAGATTTTTCCAGGGATGTCACAGAATCCCTTTTTCAACACTGGCATTAAGGTCTGTATTAATACGGGGAACTCTGCGGTCCATCATGGCCATGTGCAGTGTCCGTCGTTTGAAGTGAGTCCCTGTTGTGTTTGTGCATTTGTTGGTGTTGGGGAAGGGGGCGTGGCAACTAGAAGGGAATGTTTCACCTTGTACAGATGTGCTGGATGAAGCCTATTAAGAAATATACGGACTGTCGTCTGTCCTAAGCATGTTAACCATTGTACCTGCCACGGCTGAGAACTAAATTACAAAACTGCAATCTTGAGTGTTTGTGTTATTTTAGATATCTGATGCAGAGCCTTCGGCCAATAAAGAGTGTGTCTTTAATACGAGATGTAAGTTAGTTGACGTTTTTTCCCAAGCATCTATATTTCAGCATTTTCATTAGCTGTGTAACTTTTTATATGTCTAGTTATAACCCTCACAATAAATATTGGGTTGGCGAAAAAGTTTGTTCGGAACTTTTGGGCCAACCCAGTGCTTAAATCCCGGTTTACCTTGTGTTTGTCTGATCATTGTTGGAAAGCATTACCAGGGGTCCCGCTGATTCGCCTCTTGTTGGGGGCCCCGCCCTGTCAGGCCCATAGGAGCCAAGACGAAGACTTCGTGGCTCAGGGAAGCACAATAACACTTAAGCAAAAGAGGACTAGGGAAGCACTTCTGTGGCTCGGAATGGAGCGCAGGAGCATAAGAACCTCAAACCCAAAGGAGGGGGTTCACGGAGGACTTGCTGGAAGAACAGCTGCTTGGGCTACAGAAGACAGTTTAGTGGTTAAGAGGAGATTGCTGGCTGTAGTGAAGTTAGAAGAAAGCCGAGAGGCAAAAACAGGCGCCGAGAAGACACGAGGCGCCCAGAGGCCCTTGGGTCCAGCACAGCCACGTCGGCCTGGCCTTCAGCACCAGGAAAGTATTGGCAGTGGTCTGGGCTTGCCGAGACTCCCCGTATCTGTGTCCCATGAAAGTGCATGTTCCAGAAATGATTCCCTCGTCACAGACAAGCATCCCTGCGGTGGGCGCGGCACCCAAGTCACTGTCCCGTCCCCGTCCTTCATCCAGTTTTCTTGAAGGAGGAGGACTAAAGAGCTTGCACTTGCAACTCTGATTTGGTTCAAGACGGTTGCTGGGTCTCTGTCCTGATCATGTGCTGTCAGGCGTGCAGCTGGTGGTTGTATGAGAGCCACAGTGTGTTTGAACCAGCTTTTACATCAAGATGAGGGTTCTAAAATAAGAGTCAACTAGGTTTTATTTAATACATGGTTAAAGTGATTGTCATAAAACATTTACCTACCAGTACTGTCGTGAAGGTAAATACACTCTGAAGTCTAAAACATGGATTGAATGTCTGATATGCATAACACAGAACATCAATCTCAATGACTTTAGCTTTGCTTTAAATGCAGGTTGCATATTTGTTATATATGAGGTTCATCATGCTCTTTGTGCACTGATGTCACCTCAGTTTCTGTTCACCCACACTTTTCATTCAGTTTCAGTGTGTGTATCACTGGAAAGGCTTTTTGTGCCCGGCCAGGTGATAAATACATAACAAAAATGTTTTCCAAACAGGAGCTGGGTCTGCGGGTTGTGCCTGTTGGTGAAAGCGAGGAGCGCCCCTCGACCGGCTGGCCCTGGAGCTGGCCACACTGTCCTCCTCATCTTGGAACCATGACTGTCCCGGCTTGTGACTGTGGCCACTGTTGACCATTGTGCTGGTTTTCGTTGTTTCTGTCACGTTTTTCTCGAATTTCCCTTCCCGCCCTCCCTGCCTACAAACCTCCAGCTGGGCACAAACAACCCCTGAGAACAGAGACCGCTCCTGACTCTGATTGCCCCGGGAGGCCCGGGGACTTGAGTGGGGCTGAGCCACAGCGGTCACGGAGCGACGGGATCATGGTAAAGAGCAGAGGCCATCAGCAGGCGGGGTGGGGATCCAGGGGATGAGTGCGGAGAGGTGGTGGCTGGGCTGGGCAGTTTCCTGACTTCCTGAGTGACCAGAGAGCAACGGGGAAGGAGTCGGAGGAACTGGAGACTTGGCACCAACTGCCCACCGGCCGCTGGGTCAACCTGCAGGCCCCTCCTGGCCTCCGGGTGTCCGGTCAGTTCCGTCGGGTCGCCGCTCCTAGGCCCCCAGCCAGGGACGTGCTGAGAGCCTTTGCTGCTGCCGTTGCTGCGTTTTCTACGTAGTCCTCCCTCACCCCAGAGCCCCTCCACCCCAGCTCCGCGGAGGGCCTTGCAGACGTGCTCAGGTTTGCCTGGAGTAGGCTCAGCAGGTCGCCCAGCCTGTCCCCTCAGGTCCCCGCCTCGGCCCACTGCTGGAGCAGCCACAGCTCCATCCCTCCTTGGTCTGGCAGCTCCCTGAGAAGGGTGGGCGGAGGTGAGTGTCTGAGACCTTGAGTAGGCGCGTGAGGATTCTGGCTTGGAGGCCTCCTTCCCAGCTCTCGAGCCTTTGAACCGTCGACCTCAGTGCCCGGCTCCGTCGCTCTCTGCTTGGAGTGTTGTCTCCTTTTCCCAGTTCTCAGTCCCTGACGTTGCTCTGGGTTGTGATGCCTTTTGGTTCCTAGTGCTGAATTGAATGTCTTTAGATTCTGGGAAGTTGTCTTGAATCATTTCTTTGAATCTCCTCTGCCCCTGGTGTGTGTGGTTTTGTTTTGTTTTCTTCTCTTTGTTTTTAGCATTGGGATCTCCTATCCTGGACCTTTTTAAAATTTTTAAAAATCTTTTCCCTCTTGTTTTCTCTTTGCCTTTATCCTACTTTCTGAGAAACTTTTACATTTACTGTCCAGCCTTCCTGTTGGGTTTTTCATTTCTGCTATGTTGTTTTTAATGTATGAGTTTTCTGTCCCCCGAATATTCTTTTTTATAGAGTCCTGTTTATTTCTTATTTCTCTGGGAATAATAATACACTTCTAGAAGTATTTTTCTTTTTTCTTTTTTCATAGTCTCCAGTTTGCTGTATTCTTCTGTCTTGTGCATTAGAATAAATGTCATAAGCTTTCTTCAGATTTCTAGCAAGCTTGGATATCTACTTATATTTAGCAGTAGAGCACTATAAAGCTGAATTGGATTGTGAGCTCCCTGCGGTGGAAGGGGCTTATCAACTATGGGCTTCAATTAGGGTGGTCTGGATGGGCCTTTTCATTGGGGAATGCCCAAAGTTGATATATTTAGGTCACTTCTCTGGGGCTGATCAGATTTCCCAGAGGGGGTTCTTCTGATCTCATGCCAGGTGGGTGTGAGGTGCCTTCAGCGTCTGGAAGCAAGAGCAGGAAGAAGGCTGGGAGGTCACATTTTCAGGGCAGCACCCCTGCTCTCACTTGGACCTGGTATCGCACAAGCTCCTGCATTTACCATCACGGAGAAGGAAGCCCTGGCTCTGCTGAGGGGGGCAGGTGAGGAGCCCTGGGAACATCTGCCTCTTTCTTATCAGCCTTTGAGCCGACCATTCAGTTTTAGCCCAACTTTATCCCCACTTTCAGGAGTTCCCACACCACAAGTTCTTGAGCCTTTGGGGCTCAATTTTGCAGTGTAAACTAGGTTGCATCCTTGTTTTTCATACTGCCAGTTTAGGATCTGACTTTTTTAGGTCAGCTACATCAGTTTCCACTCACTCATATCCTTGGCAGCTTTTAAACTCCTGTGGCTATTTCGTCTCCTGTTCTCCTTTTTCTTTGCAGATATACATATATATTTATTTAATTGTATTATTAACTATCTCTATATAACTACATCTGTACTGTTGTGTGCAGTAGATGGACTCTGTGCATGTACTGGGTATGGATGCTGTATGTACACACACACACACACACACACACACACACACACACACACACACACAAATGCACTGTCATTTTCGTAGGCTTTTGGTTAGAGCTAAGGTTAATGTGTGGTTTCAGTCTGCCATCTGTAACTGAAAGTTCAGGTTAACTTCTTGTTTTTTTGTTTTCTTTGATCATAACACCAAACTCCTTACATGTGCATGGCCTTCAGGTTTGTTGCTCACAAGACATGATCATTTACTGCAACTTTCAAAAATTGAAAGGCATGTTAGGGGAGAGGAGCCACGGCCTCCTGTTCTGAT